CTTAAGCAGTTATGCTAGTACTTTATTAAGATTCTTGAAACTATTTACAATTATAATTACATAGAATTTCCCAATACAACCTGACCACTTCACTAGGTCGCCACACCCTCCAAAGTGGCTGTTTGCTTTTTGGAATTTTGTATATATAAGAAGAGATGTGTTTCTAGTCTAATAGGTATAAATTGTCAAATATAATAAGTTAATCAAGATATAGAATACTATAATACTAAAGTCATTTTCTAAAGTTTAAGTATTTTGAATGTAAAAAGAGCAATAATTTTAGTAAAATAAAACCTTGTTAAATTGTATATAAAATATTATAAGTTGAATTAGAAGTAAATATGATACCAAAATATTTAAAAAATTTAATTATTTTAAAATTAGTAATATGTTTGTTTAGTTCATCAATAATAGAATTATTATGTATTAAGATGTAAGTAAGTGACCAAAGATTATTTTATAGTTGTTAAAGCTAAATACAAGTACTAATATAAAGAAAATCAGAAGAATTAAGTCTTTTGATATAGTTTATAATATGGTGTTAAAGTTGAATATTCTATATATTTTGAATATTATATAGTTGAAAATAGAGTAGCATGCTAGTAGAAATTGTATAACTGAGTTTGGCTTTGTTTTTGACAAGTCCAATATGATTATTAAGAATTTTATTACATATGTTTTGATTAAGAACAATGTTATGAATATGATATTTAATTGTAAAGATAATAACTATATTAATAATATATTATATATATGTATTAGTAATTTTTTTTAGTACTTGCAATTTTAATAAGATGAAATAATTTGCTGTAATAAGCTTAGTTTGTTTTGTTTGTTTGTTGTTAAGTGTAAATCAGTATTCTAAAAACTTAAATAGTTTATTTAAAGAGTAAAGATTAAGTAAATAACTGTTATAAGTAATAAAGCTATAATTAGTTAAAAGATTATTAGTTGTAAATATTGATTTAGTAGGATTAATTTGAATATTAGCCATATTGTAAAAAGATTCCACTATCAATAAGATTTGTAAAAGTTCTTGCTATAAAGATGCAATTCATAAAATGTTATCCATATAAACAAGAACAAAGCAATAAGATTTAGGTTTGTTAAATGTGTAATTTTTAAGGTTAGTTAGCTAGAAAACTTTAGTATTATATCTATTAAAATTATTGTAGATGTATAAGATAAGTGGATCATAGTAAATTCTTTATAAAAGAGTTGTAATAGTTTTTTACTGATCAATACTATTAAGTATTAGATATAAAGAAATAAGTCAAGATTTGTAATAACTTAATTTTATCAGTTAGTAAATAGATTAATAATAGTATTAGTAATAGTAAAAGAGAGAGCAAGATGCTGCAAGGAGTATTTAAAAAGATTAAGATTAACTGAATTATAAGCTTTACTTATATCTTGAGACAAAAGCCAGATTGGTTTTTAATAATATAATACATCTTTAGTAAGGTTGTTAAGTATATATATGGGTATTGAAGTGCTATTATTAGATAGAGCAATATAATTATATGGTGAGAGAATTGGATGTTGTGAGAATATTGTACTAATTCTGTTTGTAATAATTTTTATATAGACTTTGCAGATATGTTTGATAAGGCTTATAAAATAGATAAGATTAAAATCTCTATTAAATATGTTTTATTTTAGAATAGAATAAATTCTGATATGTTTTTATTGTTTAGAAGTTTGGCTTGAGTTAAGGCAATAATTAAATAGGGCAGTTATAGCTTTAATGCAAACAACACCTGCATGTTTAAGCATTTTATAACTAATATCTGTAGAACCATAGGCTTTTTTATTTGAAAGCTTTGTTATAATTTAAAACACTTCTTTTCTGTAATAAGAATAGTAAAAGAGTTGTACTATTGGGTATTAATATGTGATTATAATTGATATTGTGTAGATCAAAACTTATTAAATAGGTTTTGGTTAATTGATCAATAGGCTGTTTAGTTAAGAAAATAAAATTATATATGTTGTTTGATAAAGTGTAGTTCTGTAACTAGTTAGTTAGAAAGTTTAATGTTTGAAAAGTAATAGAAGATTTGTAATAATTAAGAATGCTATTTATAGCTTGTTTAGAATATATAAAAAGTGTTTTATATTTTTTTTTAGTAGCTTGTTAAATTTGTTGTCAGAGTATTAAGAATTTTTCAAGGTGGCATGCATAATAAAGCTGTTTTCAAATATCTTGTACATACTAAATTCATTGTTTAAGTTCTAATTGTTAATTAGAAAGCAAAATTTAAAGATCATAATTAGATCTTGTATTTATATTTTAAATTCTAAAATTAATTAGATTAATATTTAAATTATTATTTAGATCTTTACTAATTTTGATTAAATATTTAAGTTTTTTAAGAAATAGGTAAAGTAAGCTGCTATGAAAAAGTACTTGTAATTATAACTATATTTGCAAAAATTTTTATTAGGTATTAAGTATATGGCAATATAAATGATTAAGTATTTAATTTTATATTAAGCGGTTTTTATGCTTTTATTAGTATTATGATCAAGTGAAGTATTATATGAGTTAAGTTTTTAAGAAAACAGATCAGAAAATTCTGTTTATTTTTTCTAATAATATGGCTTTGTAATTGAAAATTCTATAACTAATACTAGTATAATAGCATGAAGGTTTGCTAAATATATTAGTAAAAGACTATAAAAAAAAAGATAAAGTAATCATTTAGTATAAAGTTGTTACTATTATTAAGATTGTAAAAAAGAAAGATCTATATATTAAATAAATCAGTTCATATGTAGTCAATATGGCTTTGACTAGTATTGTTTGATTATATATAGTGTTTATTATTAACATATATCTCAAGATCATATATATTAGTTTAATGCAAGTAGTTAATAAATTAGAATTTAAATAATAAGTTACAAATATCATTATATATATTGAAGTTATCAAAAATAATTAAGTAAAGGTTTAGTTAATAGGCTTGTTAAATTCATAAAATAACTGTTTTTTGTATTTTGTTACATTAATCTGTGTTAGTAAAAGAGAAATAAACTGTTATAATATAGAGTTTAATTTTATTTTTAAAAAAGAGGTCTAAAGCTACTGCTTTTTTAGGATGTGTTTGGCAATTGTGTATATGTTATTCTAAAAAATCTTATCTTTTCATATGTTATACAAACAAATTTGCTTGCAAAACTGAATTTTTAGACTATAAAAAAAATTTATACTAAGAATACCTTCTCTAAAATTATATATATTATTTGTCTAGTTTTGCATTATGCACAAATAAAATACTAACTAATATAAAACAGATTTACAATAACTATGCATCAATTAAAGATTGCTAATTGTTCTAATTACTTTTAGCAATGAACAATGTCTCATGTACTATGTCTAGTACTAATTGGTTGGATCTCAATTGATCATATTTATATGAAGTAAATAGGATTAGGCATTTAATATAATTGATTATATTGAGTCATATAAGTGTCACTATATTGGTTAGATCAGTAACTTCTATCATTATGCAGGTAAAGCTTATTGTAGTTTGTGCATAATTGTGCATAAATTCTTCTATAAATTTGTAGTATAATGTAATATGGCATTGCATAAATAAAAAGAGAAAAGTAAACTTAAACATCTTTTTTTATATATTAAATTATTAAAAAATCAAAATTTTACAAATCTTTGTAAACAAGTCTTGTGTAGTTATAGTGAACCTGGTAGGTGTAATCTTATCTGCACTATGTGTACATGAACAATAGTTATGAATATGAATTAAACTTTATTTAAGTTAGTACTTATTTATTTTCTCATACAATAGTGCTATATGTTGCATATATATACAATATGTATTATATCTTTTTAAAAGAAAAATTTGGTCAAATTTTTAATTACAATTAATAAATAAAATTTTATGATAATTGTATTGGATCTGGCTAACTTAATTTTTATTAGGTTTTGTATGTTTATTAATCTTTGTTATTAATAATTCAACTTTATCTTATTAGTAACTCAATCATTTAATTGAAGGATTGTTTAAATGAATTACTAAAAAAAAAAAAAAAAGATTTTTAAAAAAAGTCATAATGATAATATTTTTTTATTTTATTTTTTAATTAAAAAACTGTCATAGTATTTTTTTTTAAAAAAAATATTATCATTAATTTAAATAATCTTATGAGTTTTTTTTTTATTTTTTACTTTGATTTTACTTGCAAATTGTAATTTAATATTAGTTCTTTTTTAAAAAAGTCCAATGCAAAAAAATGTTAAGAATTTACCTGATAAATTATCTAACAAATATGTTGTATCATTAATTTCACAAAGATTATCTAGAAATTATACAGAAGATAAGTTTTTGAAAAGTACCAATAATTCTAATAATATTGCTAAGATAGATAATATAAATATAAAGCTAGAACAAATCATTATTAGTGAAAAAAATAAAGAAAGAGAAACTAGAGTGTGATAAGAAAAAAGAGGTCAAGAAAATAAAAGTGAAAAAAATTCAGAAAGAAGAGATGCAATTTCTGCTCAATTGCCCAAACTATCTGACTTTGATGTTTAGTTAATAATCTACTTTATTATAAGGGTTATATAACATTACTGTGAATTTATTATAATTGTGAAGTTTCTTTATTCAGTTTAATTGGACTTTTTTTTCATATAATATTTTTATTATAATCATAATTAATACAAAATTATGTCAAATAAAAAATACTAGTATAGCTAGGCAGGTATAGATCCCATAACTTTGGATGAATTAAAATTTTGAATAGAAATTGTTGTGTATATAGACATTATTAAGTTACCAAGAGTAACTGATTATTAGTCAACTAATCCAAAGTTTCATAAATATAGTATTACACAAAAAATGTTAGTAATTTGTTTTTAGCAAATTAAATGATATTCATATATTTCAGATTCTAATTTAGAGAATTCTTATTGGTATAGTAAGGTTGAACTACTTGCATTACATATTAGAAATATTAGTAAGCAACTTTACATATCTAGATTACATATATCAGTTGATAATATGATGATACATTTTTCAGGACATAGTAGTTATACTTTTTGAATAAAGAACAAACCTACCTCTAAGAGATATAAAGTTATGTCCTTGTGTAAAAAAAAATATACATATATATTTACTTTTGAATTACATATTACAGATAATAAAAAAATTATTAATATTTTCAGTCTTAATAAAATAGAATTGCTTCTGTCATATCTTGTTACTCAATTATCAAATGGATGTGCATATAATATATACATGGATAATTATTTTACAAGTATTCTACTTTTTTATTATTTGAGAACAAAAGGATATAGATCTTGTAGTACAGTATGAATAAATTCTTCAATGTTTTCTAAAATACTAAAATTTGAAAAATCTATTTATTTAGATTAGAATATTTTATCTGGCATAGTTATAAATAATGTTTTAGCAATTTTATGAATAGATAATGGTTCTGTTCATATGTTTTCTATTATTCATAATATTAAAAATAATGAATAAAAAGTTTTTACAATGCATTGAAGACTATGTATAACTAGTCAAATGCAGCAAATGTATAAAAAGTTTTTAGTAAAACATCACAAAAAGAAATTTTTATACAAAAAGTTATTAATAATTATAATTATTTTATGGATAGTGTTGATATGACAGATTAATTTTGATCATATTACAATTGTTAACTTATTTCTTTATATAATTGGTTACCACTTATGTTTTAATTAATTGATACTGCAATTGTAAATTCCTATATTATTTATAAACAAAAAACTCTTTCTGCAAATCTATTGCACAAAAATTAATTAAAAAATTTATCTATAAAAAAACACTTATAACTATTTATTTTACTAAGGAAACCTATCTTGGGCTTCTAAGTAAACTTGTTCAGTTTATCATTTACATATAGTCTGCAAATATTAAGTCTTTATACTTCAAATTCATCAAGAAAATTGTACTAACAGCCTTTGGCCTTCAGTTGATAACTTTTAACTATCTCATAGTTTTTACTGCCTTAACCTGTTCTATACTCTTAATTAAAATTGTAGTATACACTTACTCAGTCAAAACAAGCTCTAAACAAAGATTTTTGACCCAATATTAACTAAACTACAACTAAATTTAATATTTACTCTCTTGCAAACCTTTTTTTTTTACCTTTTGTCTTCACTCTGTTCCCTTTTTTCCTTACATGATTTTCATATAACTTACTATCATTTCCTAATCTATACCTTATTAATTTATACCAATATTTTGTAACCAACCTATTAATAGAAACTCATTCATACAATCAAGTACTTCCATATTTAGTCCTTATTAATATTACACAGTAATTTGTACTGCAAATCCTACTTGTGTTTAGTACTTGACTCATATTAGTGACCCTATCCATCTTTGTTACACTTTTGTGTCATTCTAGTGACATCCCTAAACTACAACCCTTGTATCTGTTTACAACCCTTATAAATTTAATTATTTACAACTATATTCTCTCTTTAGAAAATACACTTAAGTTTAAAATCTTTACTTAGCTTATTATCTTTTAATAATGCCTACCTTAAGTCAACAAAAACCAGACATAGCAGACCTTGATTATTTCTACTAAAACTTTTTCAAAAGTTTTGGAATTGCCCTTTATGAAGAGGATAACAATAATAAGGCTTGCCCAATTCCTCCCAAAGTTCAACCTACTTCCTGTTTAACAAAAAATCTTTGATCAAATAAAATTACTTATTTCTTTAAAACTCCTACCTTTACCTTTGTAATTACTTGTCTTTGTGGCAAATACTATACCAAATTTATCTCAACCTCAAATATCAATTATACTTAAGCTACTGAATTTACAACTGGGCATATCAATAACAATTCTAAAAAAATTAACAAAACAACTCAAGAACTTATGACTAATCTCTCTTCTTCTATCAACAGTATTCCTTCATCTTCTATACCTGATGTATATTACTATACTTGTCATAAATGCTCTCTTTCAATTGGTTGTATCAAAAGAAATGAACACTATTATCCTACTGAAAAATACATCTCTAAAAATAATGAAATCTATCATCTTACTTGTATGACTGCTTTATTTTAACATGAAGCTAGTTCATTCAAAACCAAGAAAAATCTCACACAAATCTTCCAAAATATCTTACATAAATCCTTTCAAACTACCAATCCTCTTACTGCTTCTTCTCACCAAACCTCAACTTCATCTGATCTCATTGATTCTTTCTTTTCTACAACTACTAACACTAATATTAACTTTAACCAACTGCCTATTACTAACACTCTTGACACTTCCAATCTAAACCTCAACAAGACCAGTAATACTAACCAACCTGAAAATACTTCTAACAAACCTTTTTCTTAATTATATTTTAGTGTTCTTAAACCCAAATCTAATCCCATATATGATTGGGTTGCAAATTTTTTCATTACTGAAGAAATGCAATTTAACAAAAAGTTGCAAACCTCATTCTCTCTTCAACTCTTCACCTTCCTTAAAAAATTTCTTTAAGATTTTTATTCTGGCAAGGAAATCAAGCCAGCTACTGCTACACAACCTGTACTTAAAGCATCATTCTATTATATTATCTGTATTATGGCTAGACAATAACCTGAGTTTTTAACTAATTTTATTTATAACAGTAATCCTAATATTGACAAAAGTGTTACTATCCCTTTTGACCTTCTTGAATCTACTCTAAAAAATCTTATCCTTAAATTTACAACTATTCTCTTTACTAAACTCAATTATCTTGAAATTTTTGTTTTACCTATTACTATTCCTCCATACACAGCTCATAATTGTCTTCAACTCTGTCTTAATCTTGCTCACTTACATCTTTTCTTATTTCATAACTACCAATCAATCGACTACCAAAAATTTGCTGAGAACTTACAACTTAGATCCAAAAGATTTAAAATTGAATCATTTATTAAAACTACAGATCTTAATCAAAAATATCTTACAATTTAATCTGATGCCAGATTTAATATTAAACTCTTCTTTAATATTCCCAAAACTCTCTTTCTGAAATAATTTTGTATTTCTTTACTAAAAAACTCTCTTGACCACTTCAATTCCTGGTTTGAAACTTATTATCCTCCTTATAGCAAACAATTCTCTTTCAATATTGACAAAGAAAAGTTTGCACCTCTCTAAGAATACAATTTTGACAATATTTTATCCTTCAACTCTCTAAACACCTTTCTGAAACCTATATCTTCAAAAACCCAACTCACTCCATGAGCGATATGAAGAAGCATCTCATGTTGCTAACTTTCATTGCCTTACCTGTGATAACAAAGAATGTCAATACCTTGATGACAAAAATTTCATGATAGTGCCAAACTCTTTAATGATATCTTAACCAAATCTTACTCATTATTTCCACCTCAGGATGATGAAACATAGATCTGTCCAACTCTTAATGCCACACTATTTTACAAAAACAAGGAACATGTCACCTTACTTGATCAACCCATTCCTATCAAAGCCCTGGACAAACTAGCTGATCAAGCTGAAGACTTTGTTTGTGAACAAAACAAAGTTAAACCTAATTTCAAATGTCATAATTATTATTTCTATTGCTACCTCTCTTTTTATTACCAAACTGCTATTAAAAACCATAATATACAGTTTCTGTCCAAGGAAGAGACTATCAATCTTTTAACAAAAAATATTATTGACACCAAATTCCTTGTTCAAATCATTACATACTTTGATGTGATTAAAAACCAAAAACCAATTTATATACAAATTGTCAAATATTTTAATGATACTGCTTATCCAGTAGCTGAAAAATTCTTATCAAACCATTTAACCTTGACTTTCAACTAGTCTCTATTCTTGACTTTTTTTTTTTTACAGTCTCTTTTTTAAGCTCTTTGTTTTCTATAACCAACATTGAAGCAGCCACCATCTTATTAAAAGATACAACCAGTGTAGTTAATAAGGAGAATAAAACAAATAGACAGGTGGATAAGTTTATTTATATGGAAAGCCAAGATAATGATAGTCAGACCCAATGTACAGGGCAGACTATGGTACATTGCACAGCTGTGAGAGCTGAGCATATGCAATTGACCCTGTAGAAGACAATTTTGAAAGATTATTTATAACATCTTTAATCCTCTATAATCTTTATATATGCTTTAACAAATTCCTTAATTACTACAATTTACCACTTCTTTCTTATAGTCAAACTATTCAAACTCTAATTTAACTATTGACAAATATAATAATAACAAAACTGTATCTAGTATTACATTTTTTGTTAATTTATTTTATAACAAAACACACATATACCTTCTTAATAATACATTTTTACCAGATCATATTATTATTATTTTACATCTTCTTCTTTTATTTTATAACCTACCTCTTAGATCTAACTTTTTTAATTCTACTCCTATTATACCTGACTTATTTTTCAACAATTATTCTTCAACTTTTTCTAATCATAATTCTCCTTCACCTTTGCCTAATTCAATATCACATCATTTCTACCTTAACATTGTCACACATAATGTTAGAGGCTTCAATGAACCTACCAAAAAAAAAGCCTGGCAAGACTATTGTCTTAACTAGAACATATCTATTACAAGCATTACAGAAACCAAAATCTCTGACAAAACTAACTTCTTCTTTTGTAATAATAATTTCTTCATCTATTATTGGTCCAACTCTCCTACTTCTATTGAAAGCACTGCTATCATGATTCATAATTATTTAAAACTTCATATTCACAGTATTTATACTCACACTGAAGGTGCTATAGCACTTAATATTTTTTTCTAAAATAACATCAAGCTTCACATCATCTCAGTGTACCTGTCATCAACTGATATCTTTACTCGCAATCAAACTTAAAATACTGTTATTAACTGGATTCAACAAGCCTCTTAACTTCATATTCACCCTATTATTTTTGGTGATTTTAATAAACAAGATAATACTCAAAGTTCTTCTTCTAAATACAAACTTATCAACTTTCTTAATAACACCAATTTGTATGATATTGGTGCTCATTTTAACAATAAACACTTTATCTGGTTAACAA